CACCAAAACAATCTCTCACATTCGGTCACATCTTCATAGCACCTGGATGGGTACTCAGTCCACCTTAATGTCCTTCTTCCAGGGTACTCTTATCCAATCCACAATACTGGAGCACAAACTCTATCACGACATCTCATGGCACCATTTCCATCAATCCAAAAATCAGTTCTTCGACTTAATTCATTAAATCCAATTAATCTACTAGCTCAATTAGAATTCCAACTTCTCGACTCTCATCAAGATTACCCATAGTCAGCCTCAACCTACAAAGATTAACTCCATAAGAAGTCTCTTCACAAACCAAACTCATATCTCGAATTTTCTTAATCAGTTCTAACTCCTTTACCCTCATCATCGGTATATACCCAAAAAAATTCTAACTCGATGCATCAGCTACCACGTTGTCTCGCCCGAATGGAAATTCAATCCAAAACCATACTCCTCCAGAAGTCTCAATTATTTCCTCTGTCTTAAATTCAACTCTTTCAAATCAAACAAATACCTTAAGCTCTTAAAATCACCAACCATTTCACATCTCAACTAAACAATAAAGGCCTCCAAACTCAGGCACAAACACTCAACAGCAACCAACTTTAAACCACTTGTCCGATAATTCCTCTTATGTACTTTAAGTTGCCTTAAAGCATAACTAAAACTCGTTGATATTGCGCTTAACATACCTCCCCAATCATACCAACAAAGCATCACAAAACACAACAAATAGTTCCATCGGATACGACAAAAACCAACACACGAACTCTTTGAACTTTCTTCACAGAGGCATATCACTGCTTATTCCCCAACACCGATAACTTAAGTTCTTGATGCTCAACATAATCCTCTATACTCTTCGAATATATCCGAATATCATCCGTTAACACAACCAATGACTCGCTCAATTAAGTATGGAAAGTCCCATGCCAACGGACACTCAAATTTATGAGCTATGGCGGAAACATGAACCGCACCTTCCGCACTTACCACAATATCTAAATACCTAACATCAATAAATATCTTAATCCCACGTCACTATGCCGCCATCACATAGAGCATTGTAATAACTTCCCACGCTTCGAACCGTGCGTAATTCCGAGTTACGGTCCTCCCGTTACGTCAAAAATACAAAAATAACATTTTCACCCTTAAAAGGCCATTCAACGCATCTTCAACTCTTGAAATGTTTACAGGTCTAATTATATCAATATCGTATTCCACGTTCTTACTTTCTTTAATATTCACCAGGAGTCATTATCCACCCTTTACATACTCGACCTCACAATCTATTACCGTAGCACATCCACCAAACACGAGTCTCAAAACTACTCACTCAAATTAATTCCTTGACCACCCAAACAGACATACAATACGGAGCTCTCAATATCGGGATAATTTTCGCAACTAAGTCGATCATAACTCCACTTCACGTCCTGACTGTATATCACTGTCTTGCCAGGATAACTTTCAGACAACCATACTTAATCGGTAACCCGCCAACTTCTCTACTTTCATCAACACTCAAAATTCCCCTCAAAATTAAACATCTCGACACTGTCCTGCACCGACTCGCCAAGACAACTCTTAAGCATTCGGCTTAAGTCTAAACAATTCACCGCACACACCTTCTAAGCTAGCAAGACATGTTTATTCCATCCAACATGATCCCGTCTACTATTGACAAGAGATTAAGGGTGATCAGTTCCTCAATTTGTCAATAGATAGTCGGTAATCACAATGGGGCCTAAACCATCTTTACCAAACTATAATAGCGTTTAGCCACACACTGAGCCATCACTCCACACTTGAAGCATCTTGGAGAAGCACAACCTTCTCCCCCACTTATTTCAATCCCACTCCTGCAATCTCCAGTCTCTGGCGACTGTTGTCCCACCAAGCCTCAGCTTCACCTTCTAGCATGTGAGTACCAAACCTCACCTTTTGCTCATCACTACAACCCATTTTCCTGAAAATTTTCTCAATCGCCTTCAGCCACTTCTGCGCAGCTTCAAGATGCAAAATTCCCCCTTCAAACTTCGGCGGCTTGTTACTCCGAAACTGTGCCAAATCCTCAAATTGCGCATTCGCAGCTTGGTTCCGATTAGCAACCACCTGCGCCATCGCTTGCATAGCAGCAGCCAAAGCGGCATCATTCCTTCCTGTCATACTCTTCCATCATAACAACACCAAGTTAAAAGGTACAACCTCTATCCTAAGGACAGACTCAACTACTACACTGGCCGAATGGACCGACCTGCTCTGATACCAACTTGTAACACCCCGTTTCCCAAAAATAAAATAAATGCAATTTAAATCAAAACAATTATCAGAGTTGTCACACCAAAAGGGGATATCACAAAAGAAAACTCCAACAGAACACTTCATTAAATGAATTCAACAATTAACAGCGGAAAATGTCATATATATATATATATATATATATATATATATATATATATATATATATATATATATATATATATATATATATATATATATATATATATATATATATATATATATATATATATATATATATATATATATATATATATATATATATATATATATATATATATATATATATATATATATATATATATATATATATATATATATATATATATATATATATATATATATATATATATATATATATATATATATATATATATATATATATATATATATATATATATATATATACATCATATTCGGCCATCCGCCCAAATATACAAAACATCATCAATGGATCCATCAAAACATGATACGACACGGAGTAAAAACGAAATCATCAGCTAAACAATAAACACACCAAAGCCCCGTGTTACGTATCAGAGTATTCCTACGACTCGACTCGCCACTATCCAAGCTATCTACGCACCTGGATTATCTGTACTTCCGAAGAAGCACAGACCACAACAACAACAACAACAAGGGGTGAGAAATCATGATCAAAAGATAGCGGTAATAATGTACATGAATTAAAAGGTAGTAACTAATTCAATTAGCATTCAACATACATCAATCCAGACCTACTGTCCAACACCAACACAGCACACAAGTCAATGCAACCATATGCAATACAACACCATGATATGTGATACCGACTCACTGGTTCATTCAATCAAAC